ATAGTTAACAAATATTAATAAAGTATGCAATATCTTAATATAAATAGATAATATAAGTGAGTCATATTTACAAATTATTAAAGTGTATATTTATAATTTTCTTTCAATATTTTTTATACTATAATAACCTTCTGATTTTTTAATAAATAAGATAGGCGGCAAGATCAATCGGATTCAATTTCGACTGGATATTGTGGCAAAGCACGAAGCTGGAAAAAAAAGATCGCAATTCGTGATCTTTGAAGTTATAAAGAACATTCCCTGATTGTTTTACGGCTATTAAATATTTTCTTTGACGATTATTGCTTTAAGATCTACCTCGCATAGCATCATGCACTTATCGCTCTTATAGTAATTGCCACTCGTTACCAGGGAGAAGCCTTTTTGCCTGTATTTTGACTACACTTATACGAGTTGCGAGTACGACCCCGCACGTAAATTTATCGCATAGATCGCGTCCCGCATATTTATCGAAACTTGGATTACATGATGTATATATATGTATATATTAGAATTAAATTTATTTTCAAATAATAATACATAATCTCTAAATTACATAATCTCTAAAAAAATAAATCTTTAACACGAGACATTGTTTGTGGTAAAGTGCCTTTTTGCATTCCGCGCGAGTAATAATTAAATAATGAATATTTATGATTCGAATATATATCGGAGCCGACCAACGGTAGTTTTATTCGAATAATTATTCATTGTCAAATAAATAATGGATACCAATTATTCGCGAATAATACCTGAAATGTTGAATGTATTGGACTCTATACAGAATATTTTCCAAACATGAGAATACAGAAAAAGTTATTTCCGTTTATGCTATTAAATTAAAACCTATATAAAACAACCATCGAATATAGTTCGATGGAGAAATATCATCGATCACCGGCGCAAATTAAAAACAATAAACTAGGCCGACCAGCTTTATAAACCATACTCTAACGTTCGATCTTACAAATTATAAAGCACGTCGTATATTCTCGAGCAATTGCTTCGTCCGCGCGGCGAGGACACTTTCGTTCTGTATTAATAGTCGTAATTAAGAGCGACCGTATAGGTGGCGGAATACCGACAACAACGTTCTCTCCCAGGCACATTCTGCTCGTGATACACGCGACAAGGTCACGTATGCAAAGTTCAGGCCATTATGACGCTCGTATTCAGATGCAAATTGACTGGAAACGGCGTGGCTCTTAAAATATACTTAAGCGAACGCGTCGTCGTTGAGATACAGCTCTCTCCCTCTTTCTTTATCTCTTCTTCTTCTTTCGCGAACGAGCGAACGAACGAAGAAGCACTAACGAGTGTAGAAGGTGCCAATGCGGCGATACAAAGTGTGCGTGATTATAAGGCCGAGGATGAAAAACAGCCGGCTTACGCGGCGGTGCAACGGTGGGTCGGCATTATGCCCTTGGGTTTTTTTTTCGCGAGCGTCTTAATGACAGGTCGCATAATTAGCGAGAAACTGCGCTAGTGCGTTACGAGACTCCGAACAACGAACCTTGTACAATCTCTCTTGGTGCATATATGTGAGAATCTTTCTTTTTTCTTCTAAAAATAAATTCGATATAGAAAGAATGTAATAAAGATCCGAAGAATAATTTTTCTCTAATATATATAATTTGTTTAATATAATAAACAATTATTTAATTATATATTTTAAATTAGTTTTAACTATTTTAAAAAGTGATAAAAAAACATGTTATATGAAAGCTAGAAAAATTACCCCGAGCAGATAATTATATACCTAAGATAAGCAAATTTTACTGCGTTTACTATGTATTTAATATATGCTAAATAAAATTATTTCATTTCTTAATTAAATAAGTCACGTTAAGAATTTTATAATTTTCAGCCTAGTAATACGTAACATAAAGTCGAAATATGTAGCAATCACCATGTGGTAATATCGTATGAGATTATATATCCACATGATAAAATATTGATCACCTATTGGTGAATGTTGATAGCAAATTACACAGATGGAGAAGGAGAAATAATTATATACTTGCCATGGAAATTGAAGTGTAAAATTCTTTCCGTTGACTTCACATTTTCGTGTGCAACCAATAATACAAGTCATACATATCTTATGCAATCTTTTTTTTACATTACATTTTCGTGATATCGAATTTAGTCGGCTTTAAGTCGCGCGTTAGTTATATGTAACACAAACCTTCATATGCTATATCGTTACATAAATAATATTTTAATCCAAAGTATCAAGTCTATAGCTCAGAGATATATGTAACTTGGAATTAACGATGTGTTTTCATTACGTTCTACAGACGTGAAATAATGCATCGATAAATTAATTAAAATCGCTCTGAATCCGCATATAAATTCAAATCGTATAAATATTATGGCTCCTGGACTTCATCATCTTGTTTATTTAAATTTACGATGTTACATAAACGACTACATCTGGCTGCACGCAAAAGAAAATACAAGTTGCGACTTACGCATCTTAATCTGCTCTTGGAATAATTCGATACATATCGTTTCCCCTCGATACACGCGTCTACCTTTCCAAGATTTTTCCGATCTAATTCGAATTAACAGATGATACTCGAACGAATCTGTATTCGCCAGGCGAGATAACAACCGTGAATTGCAACAATCTCGTGATTAGCGTTTAGAAACTTTGACGCTGCGCTCGATCGATTCGTTCGATTGACTCCTCTCGGAAGGATTGTAAAAATTGACATACTAATTTTTGATTTATTTTCTTTTTCTTTTCCCCGATCGTGATTGACGTCTTGAATTCGAACCGCTATAATGATTCATCCCAGGTAACGGCGCGCGCGATAAGACAGAGGGATTATGTTGCACATATACGTAAGCACACATTGGCTAATTCAATCGACACAACATGCCGCAGGCTGTTAGGCAATGCGTCGACCGGCTAATGAAGTGTCATTGATTACGAACATTCATTTCGGCACGAGGCGAGAGACTTTGAGTCTGGCCGCAAGCGTGACCTGAATCCGCTTACGACCATCTCTCATCTCCGACTTAGAAATCTAGAATAGCTATTTCCAACAGTGATGCCGTGCACAAAGAGAATATTATAACAGAAAAATGAAATAAAGTAATCAAATAATAAATATAAGAAAATAGGAAATAAAATAGAAAAAATATATATATATTTCGCGTTTTTTTTTTCGAATTCTTTTTCTTTTTTTTAATAGAATTCTTTAAAACAAAAATATTCAGCGATACAGCGGACTCTTCAGTTCTTAAAATCATGGGTTCGCTATAATTGCAATAAGCAAACGGCAATGATCAGCAAGAAATCGATGGCAAAAAGGGGTGGGGTGGGGCAGGCATGTGAAGAGCCGATATTAACAGTATCAGGGAGTGGATGTGCGGCAACGTGGGCGAATTATAGCAGTTTATCGACCCACACACGAACCGACGAAGGGGCCATTACTCAATTCCGAGATAAGGAAGAGGAGGTCATCGGACTGCATCCGCCGCCGTTGAACGATGGTCCGGCATCGCGAAGTGCATAAACTGATTCCTGACTTGACGAGAATCATGCGTTCGCGCTTGCAACGAATTCGCGCGCGCGCAGAGGCGTCGAGGGCGGCGATGCAAAACTCGCGATGAAATCGGCAGGACTTCTCGAGAAATTACGATGCATAAACGGTACTTAAGCAGATAATATCGTGCCACCAATGGAGAAAGATCGCATTTGTAAGATCGTAAAAGTGATATTTAAGTATATATTTTCAATGAGATCTTATCATTGAAAAATGACATGGGAACGTTTAATTTTGTTTTGATGCAAAATTAAATATTATAAAGATAAATACAAAATATATGTGTAAATAAAAAATAATTTTTAAATATAATTAAAATTTGTGCATTTTTTAAATCTTTTTCCAGGGCTAATATTACATTACGAAATTTCACAAAGATCATGATTTATACTGCTTAGATTACACATAATCGATAAAAAGCTATATTAATATCTGAATCATTGGTTGAAACATGAATAGAATTTGTGTCTTAATAGTTTACATTTTTGAATTTAATTCTTTGGTAATGCTTTATATCATTCCAAGTGTGTTACAAACGTTTATGCTAGTCGTAATGTCGAGCGATCGTGACTTAAGTATTTTATATCGTTACTCCCCTGTTGGGGATATTAAATCGCCGCTCGTGTGATAAATCAGTTCGCCAACGGGATATGTGCATAATCTTAAATACGTATCAGACACTGTTACCATAAGTCAAACTCGTTATAATATGTCATGTGCTTTATCATGCGCGGCTTTGTATATTTCGTCGAGTGGAAAGCGAAATTGACATCACAGTAATTTTCATTTGAATAAACGTAAAAATTGAACGCTCAGTGGATTTTCATCCAATCCGCTGACTTGCGGAAGAAAACAAAATAAACAAAATGTGCGAGAATTATGATATCATTATTCTCACGCGAATAAATTGATGCTTACAGATCAGCAATCTGGAAAGAAAAAAGGGTACGTAGTACTCAATTTATCATTAGATTTCCGAAATTAATTTTTCTATTTTGAGAAATTGCAATAAACTTCAGAGTGAAGCATTTTACAACAAACTAATTTACTATTAATAATATAAAAATAGTATAAAAATAAAATTAATATTAAAATAGAACGACTAAGAGCGTAATAAAATAATTGCAAATATTAAAATCAATTTTCGTCACATGATAAAGATTAATTGGAGATTATCAGTGAAAATTGCGCTTAAATACTATAAAATCTTGAAATTCGTTATGTATATATAATTTCTGTTCAATTATATCTTCAATTATATGTTTAATAAATAATAATAATTAATTATTTTCATTACATCTCGCTTATTATGAAGTATTTGTATATGTGTATCACTTCTATAATATTTGATATATTTTTACCCTTTTCTATATATACGTCTATATATATTAATTTAATATCAATTTATAAATATATAGTAATAAAAAGGATGATAAACATGGATAAATTAAAGACGTTTTTATTGATTTCTCCAAACAGTATGATTCGAGTTAGTGCGACATAGCACTATAGGCGACGCTGATAGGTCGGCTTGGTTGATCAGTCTATTACGACGAAACGGAGCCGAGTATCTGTGTGTGTATGTGTGTGTGTATGTTTACATGTATGTATTATATCGTTGCATTATCACAATACGTTATTAACGTCAATCGACGATGAGTGAAATAAATACATAAGAAGAAGCAGGAGGGTGAGAGAATCCAAAAACGATCGACGGCCGACATGGAGATGAAAAAGAGAACAAAGAAAGAAAGAAAAGGTTATCAATAAAGAATCATTTAAATTACGTTCATTGAACTCCATCCATTTCGGCTGTTTTCGAGTCTCTCCCTCTGCCTTCGTCAGAGATCAGATCAGGCGGAAAGCACGATTTCTGAAGCGATCACTGGACTAGCGATCGGGAAAAACGACATCGAAGCAGAAGAAATAATTAGTTAAGTAACAGTGAAAATAAATATGCGTCGACGATCCAGCGAATCTATTTTGTAATTCTTACACAATTATCTCTAGAGATTTGAAATGTGAGTTTTTCTTTTTTCGTGAACTATATGAATTGTAACTATCTCTTGCACGAGAAACGGAAAAGCTGCAATAATATCGAAATTCAAACTTCCGAAAATCACAGGATCTGTCGACGAACTATCTCACTATCAAGCATTTCACAATCCTATTAATTTTTCCACATTTTCGATCTTTTTTGAATCTCTCCACATATTTTTCGTTTGTTCAATATTTGCAGTAGTTATTTTCTCCAATATTTGTCACTCTTCGTCATATTCTCTAGACATTTAGTAAATAAAAATCGCGAATATTTGTAACGATATATATAAAAAAGTTTTGTACGTCTTTCACACAACATTGTAACTTTCAAGCGGCAGCAAAACATTTCTTTTCGAAAGTATATTCAATGGTGGTATTGTTTTCCAAAAAAAAACAAATTATGTGTCGTTCTCTCTTTCTCTCTCCCTCTTTATCCATTTATCTATTTCTATCTCTATCTGTCTCATTTGTTTGTCAATTTTTACGCAACATTGGCATACCGTGTCTTCACAAATTTCTTATCATTAGACCGATAAGTAAATTAGGTCATTTTCGTCGCCAGAAAACTGATTCGTAACAAGTTAAATCAGCAAACGTCATTCCAATCCAACGCACAAGAGAACACTTGAATCTTTCCAAATTAAAATCGCCATTTCTCACGAAGAGATCATGATAACAAACGCGCTATATATCTTTTCTTTTCCTTACGACAAATTTTTGTTTATAACAATCGCTGCACCATCATTCAAGACCATGGATGCGTTATAGAAGCTGCATATTTATGATTACAACGCGCAAAAGTGCGTTACAAGTCTTGTCGAATTATCAAAGTTACCAAAGCGAAGCCGTAACTTTCATAAGTCGAACGAAGGAAATTTGTGCAGAAACGCTTGTAACAAAAGCGACAATTTGTAAACGAGTTGAAGTGTGCTATGAAAACTTACGCGCTATTACAATTTCCTTCCTCTTTAATCCTTTCATTCAAATTTAATACGCGATCTAGTGCACGTTAATACTTTTAATATAAAAGACCGATTATATGCAGAAAAGAAAAGATCGGTTTTGTGGATTGATCTTAAAACAGGCTCCTGTCACTCGACTTATATTTGGCTTTAGCGTGTTTCACTCTCCGCCGAACATTGCATTCGATGCATTTATATAGCGCATGCAGAAACATTGTAGATATATAATACAACCGAAAATATACGTCGATATACAGCATGAACAAAGATTGCGTGCAATCGGTTAAACACGAACAAACATTTGCGAGCGACAAATCTTTTTCCCTCGGACGCGACCAATAAGAATTCCCGAATAAAAATATCAACGACGATGTTATTAAAGCACATTTACTCTTTCTCTCTCTTTCTTTCTCTCTTACGCGCGATTTCCTCGCGTACATATTGCGTGATTATGCATCGGTGCGAACGTGCGCATACTCTACCTTAACAAGGAACCAAGGAAAATATTGATCTGTCGCCACTTGGCAATAAAACTTGCCGCAACGTGCGACTCGCCGGTAAGAGAGAAATATTGCTAATATCATTCTTTGCACTCTCGCTCGGGACATGCTCGCTACGTCGAACTTGGCACAAAGCGCACACCCGTTACAGCCTAAACGGACGTCGTCGTAGTCGTCATTGGAGAATTTTTACGGCCTGCCCTTCGTACTCCCGGCGCTGCGAGTGTGTACTGAATACTAACAAGATTTCATCGGTTTCCTCCTAGTTTAATCCGCGCGCGCTTCTTTTTGGAGAAACGGCAGCTATAAATATTCACGAGTAATTCCACCGCGTGTATACTTTGGAAAACTAGAACACCAAACCTCCGATTGCCGTTTGCATTCATAATGCGTGTGAAATATATATATATATATATATATATATATGTATATAGTTATGAGTCATCGTGTGTGTACTTTATTATAAAGAGATAATATAATATCATCTCAATTCTTCTTTACAGACTTCTTTATTCTCTGAAATTTTTCGTCACTTTATTATTCATTATTATAATATATTCATCCTTTCTCTTTGCTCCATTTCTCCAAAATGAGACACGTATCGTACTAAAAAATATTCATTCAATTAGATTCTCGGTCGTGCCTCGTCGTCGTTTTTCCATCGCGAGCTCCGAAATCGTAACAACAAAAGGCGAACCGTCTTCACGCAATTTCTTCTATACACATATAGACAACGGAGATAATAATCTAAATGGATCGCCTTAAATTCTAGACTTACGGTCTAACGATAGATGGTTGATTGGCTTTACGTATGTGTGTGCGCGCGTATATGTATGTTGTGTATGGTGAAGAGAATGATAACGTGTTATAATGCTGTGATGGCTCGCGTAGTAATGCGTGTTTTGTTCGTCTGGTTGACATTGTATATTGTGGGGAAACGCGGAAAGGGAGCGGGGAGATAAGGTGGTATAGTCTTCGTATATCGCATACAAAATGACGCAGGATTCGTCGCACGATCTCGGTCTCCTCGACCGACGTTCTCTCGATCATCGAGCGCAGATTTACAGAAGAACGAGTCGACCTATCACGACACAGATCGCGATAGACTTTGCACGTGTATGCGTGCGTCCGCGAGCGCGCGCGCGCGTGTGACCGGCCGACTCGCTTCTACGTTTACTCGCTTCTACGGTCTGTGTAAATCTGCGCGATGGCCTTTCGTTCTAATATAGATATAGTATATCTCGAGTCTATATAGATTGATCCTGCCGCGGTAATTTCTGCCGCACCTTCCACCCTCGCACGATCTCGAGAGCTTCGACCTGTTTCGATCGTTGCGATAAGCGCAAAGATTGCGATCGATTATACTAACATTTTCCGAAAAAAAAAAATGACGGAAGTCATTTAATAATAAATTGAGGGAAACGATGGGTTTTATCGTCATTTTTTTTAAGATTCTTATCGACGTTGAAATCGTAAAGAGCAAGTTTCGATTTCTTCAGATAAATGAAAGTATTATACGTAATCGACAGAGCGTTACGTCATTTAAAGGTAGAAAGAGAAACGCGAAAATATATATATTTAAAATTAAAAGTCTTTAAATTCCAAATAACTGCCTAAGCTTCACTGTAGGAGAGAATACAAAACTATACTAATTACAATTTAATTCCGTGCTCAAAGCAAAGGCTATAAATTTTGTAGTCGTCGAGTGTCGATTCTAAACGAGACAGATATCCTGTAACGGAACGTGTGACAATATCTCTCCCATCCAGTTTGAAGTCAAGGCGGAACGACGACAGCGATAGTCTCACTTGTCAAGTATTGATATTGTACAAATCAATAACGAGTTTACCTGATCCGTCTGCCGTTATTTAGCAGAGGCAACGGTAAACGGCGCGCAAGAAGAAGGGAGGTGGGACGCGAAACAATGTTACGAACTCGCAGCGAGGCAGCCGCCCGGTTATCAAGTCAACGAGCTGAACCGTTGTGCCGAGTTATCCGATAAAACACGGTGATAGCGCGCACGATTAAACGCAGTTACTAATACGAAGGCGGTAGCTCCTTTCACGCGAGGCAAGCCCCTCGGGAAGGGAAGAAGGAGAAAGAAGAAGAAGTAGAAGAAGATCCTCTCTCCGACAGTTCGACCTACTATCGGGAGCGAGAGGAGAGAGGGCGGGGTGGAAGGCGCAGACGTCGATTACGATCGGCGGCGGTCAGCAGCCGGACCGGACCGTTCATCGTTCCTCCGATTAATTGCTACGTTACGTTTTAAACGGTCACGTCGCCGCTACTCGTCTTGAACGGTGGCGGCGAGAAAAAGCGGGTATACATCGCCGCTTCGCAACAGTGTGTTGATGCGGGACGAGACGATGCAAGGCCCAAGTGCATCTCGCGATTAACCCTCGTGATTAACCCCCTCGCGGCTGGCACGGTGGTTTTCCCGGACGCTTCTTCTAGACATCGCGCGCGACGTCTGGCGCTCTCTCGAGTCGTATATTCCGATATGAATGAAGCATAATTGAATAAAGTTTCGCGCGCACGCGTGTCGAGAGATGTATATTATAAATAAATTTCGTCGAGACGATACTTAAACTTCTTGCGACACAAATAATTAAAAAGTATGTTGCGCGTTGGCGCGTAGAACACATACAAAATCGTCGCTTTTTGTAATTAATGAACATCAAGAAAAATGGTCGCTGCTTAATTACGCGTAAAGCGGCGATGGTTTAGTATTCTACACGTTTTTAATTACGCGTTACACAGCCAAGACACAATGTGAAATATAAGACTTGGACGTCAGAGCATGGAAATAGAATGGAATAAATTTACGATAAGATAAAATCATTGAATGGGAAATATCGATCGAAAAACAGATATAGCAGAAGAATAAAAGATATGAGTGGTCCCACGACTATTGAAGGGTACGGTGAAGGCATTCCGATATTCTGATTGGTAATACATAAAATATCAGAAACGTTTATATATTTTTTATTCCCCGTCTCTTATGTCCTTTATTCTTACATTCTCATCGTTTCCTGGCCTTTTTATGCTCGTTTCTCGTCGTAAATCGTAGTACAACTATCGTTGTTTGAAAACGAGTTACGAAAATAAAGAGAAAGTGGCTACTCCACGCACAGAATCGATACGTAATTAAACCGCGATTACGCCAACTAGGATTACTTAAACAAATTTTTTTTGTAGCTAGACATTTAAAAATCGACAGAATTTATTAATCGGTGCTCTTTAATCGATCGACGCAAATTGAAGCAGAACAGATCGATTACATGATGTATACAATCGTGCGATGAAACAATTTTGTAAAACATAAGCGTAATTATTTTCTGGCAAAACGCGGACAGATCCTTTTCACGATAGACTAACTCAATTAAAATCCGTCACCTCTAGATGTCCGAGCGAAACCTTGCATAAGCGAAACATAAGAGACATAAAAAGCACTTGCGTAAATATATGAGCGACTGTCGCTTATACAATCGAGACGATCGTTGTACTACAATCCACTACAAGAAAAATTCATTGGATTTAAGATGCATGATGGATGAAATCACGCGCGTTACACGCACAAATATATATTCTTTTAATCTCTCCAGACTATAACGCGCCCGTGACAAGGCTACGTTCGACGCACCGTCTCTCGTTGCCGAGAGTCAATTCACTTCGCTACGCGAAACGTCACCTAGAAGAAGCGTCGAAGCGGTGTTCCATCCGGTATCACGTCGCGTACAACGTTGCGTGCAACACGCGTATACTACGAGCACCGTTAGCGGTGAGAAGCCACCCCTCTGTAGTCGTCATTGTCGCCTTCTTCTTCTTTTTTTTTCGTCGTCGTCGTCGTCGTCGTCGTCATCGTTGTTGTCGTCTCGTCGAGGTTTCGCGGCTTCGCGCTTCATAAAACGACGCAGCGCCGAGACACTTGGCCCGAGACCCTCGACCGCACATAAAAGCGACACCGCGAGACTCGGGCGAGTGTCGGTCGAGCTGTGTTTACGCGCATCGGATGGACGAAGTAAACGTCGTCGTATTTTTTTCTTTTTTTCTTCTTTTTTTTTTGTCACCCGCTTCGGGACGTGCCAAACACTTCGTCGTCAACATCCACGCACTCTATTTTTTCTCCATGTTTTTTGTTGTTGTTGTTATTATTATTGTTGTTGTTTCATTGTCGCTCTCACTTCGCACCTCACCGAGAGAGTTTACGCGACCGCGAACGCACGTGGACACTTGGAGAGAAGTAATAATAAGTCGGCGAAACGGCCCATCACTCCTCCGCTTGCAGCAACGTGCGGAAGTCTTGCTGCAGTTTCGATTCGTGGTAACTCCATATATCGCTGAAGTCGCCGTCCCCGTTCTCGTCGTCGTCGGCCTCCTCGACGAGGCTCGACGACAACTTGTCCTCCTCGGCGAGACGTTCGGCGGGGGACGGTGATGAATAGAACTTGATCTCCAGATCGCGGTGGCCGTTTGGCGAGGTGATAATCTCCGTGGAGACCTCGAGACCTTTCGGGGACGCGGCGGGTCCTCCAACGGCGTTCGAACCCGCACCGTTGGCGCCGGTCGATGAGATCGTCGGCGCACTGCCGATGCTGTCACCGCGCCAGAGAGTCCGTTTGTGTTTTCCGCTCTCGGACTGGCCCCCACGATCGCCGATGACGCCGACGTCCCTCGTCGGCGCGACGATCTCCTCGCCGTAGCTAAAGTAACTCGTCGGATCGCTCCAGCTGCGTCTCAAAACCACGCCGCCGGGCCCGGCAACGCACTCTCTACCGTCGTCCTGCGATCGAGAGTGCTCGTCGAACAGTCTATCGAGCGCGCGTTCCTGTAGATTCGAACACGGTGGCGTGAGAAACAGCGGTATCTGACCGAAATGACCGCCGCAACGATAATCGACACCCGACGAGGACGATGACGATGTTGACGAGGGCGGTGGAACCGGTAGCGGCGGCGCTGTCAAAAACGGCGAGTAACCGTTTCGGTCGACGTCCCAGATTAGACCGGCCGGGTCGCAATATCGGCATTGACACGGGCCCAGACCGTCCTCCCTGACAGCAGCCTCGCAGGACTCGGCCGCATATTCATGAACGTAACGTCGCGGCAGACTGCTGTTACAGTTGCCGTTACCGTTGGCGTGATGATGATGATGATGATGATGCCGGTAGCCCTTGGGCGGCGCCGCTGCGGCACGCATCGGCGCCGCGACTACGTTACGGTTGTCGTCTAGCACTTTCACTTGCACGTGGTGCCGATGATGCGCGTACCGCTGCTGCCTGACGTCCGCCATCTCCGTCTGCATCGACGGCGCTCTACAACCGCCGTAAATGGTCTCTCGATGACCGACCGGTGGCCTCCGGTAATTCCTGAGTTGCGGCGGCGCGACCGCCTCGTAAATTCTCGGTTCGTAGCAGGTTGGCGCGTACGATTTCACGCCGACGACGCCCATCTGTTCCCCGGTTAACCCGGTACCGCAACCCGAGGATTGTTGCCGCTGCATTGTTACCGGTTCCTCCGATTTCGTCGCGTCGATACTGCCACTCGCGACGACGTTATTCGGCGGCTTGCGATCCTTCTTTCGGCGTTTGCGAGGCTTGATTATGCGCGGCAGGCTGTTCTCCGAGTTGTTCGAACCGGAACTCTCGTCGCTCGCGATACTGAGCGAATCGATGTTCGCGATACTCGAGGAACCGGCGTTCTCCTTTCCCGCGGCGGAGGAACAGTCGGAGGAATTCGTCGTCTTGGGATTCGCGGAAATCGTCGTCGATGGCTTCTTCATGGTTGTCTCCGTCGGCCTTTGAGCGACGATTCGCGACGCCGGGCATCTCGTCCCGCCGTTCACGTTATTTGTCATCGACGGATTCGCGCTATTATGAACGTAATTGCCGACGGTGTTGCCGCAGAGCGTGTTAACGATGCCATTGGAATTGCCATTGTTATTATTGCTGCTGTTGCCATGTACCTTGCCGCGATTATAGAATCGACCGGCTAAAATCAGGGGCGCGCCCTGCGTGTGAATTGCCAGCCTGGACAGAGGACTCTTATGCAAATGACCGCCCGGCGGTACCTGCTGTTGATCGGCGCAGCAGGTTGTCTGTTGCTGCTGCTGCTGCTGCTGTTGGCCGAGCGACGGTGACGATCGCTGATTACATCTGCGCGGGCTCGACGTCATTGATATGAGCGGCGCGCCCGTCCAGCCACCCGGACCGCCGTATTGCACTTGACACTGCTGCTGTTGATCGGCCAGCCCGGAATAACCCTGTCCTCCATTATTGTAACAACCGCGGGCCTTGCCGCCGCGTACCGTCGCTGGTTGTTCCTGCTTCCGGCAGACGGTCGCGGACTTGCCGTGCAGTCCGGCGCGCACGTTGGACGAGATCAGGCAACTGCCAATGTAACGCTCCACCTCCAGGGCGCCCTGGGAGGCCGGGCTCATCTTACAATGTCCGCGGACCACCAACGCCACACCGGTGCTATCAGCCGTACAGTCGCGACGATATCTCGAGCGATATCGATCAAATAGATTCGACCCAACACTGCCCACTCGACAATTCCGATCCTACTACTCTTTTCTACTTGTCACGACACATTATTCCGCCGATTTTGATCTCGCGCGGCTGAGCGGATAAAAGCCGCTTCTCGATCTAGCCCATCTTTAACGAACTTGTTCGACGCCGAGAGCGATCGTATCTTCGGCTCGCCGAGACGAGCGCAACGTCTCACGGGGCGAAAGTAGACCGGGAAGAAAGGCTGAAGAAGCGAGAGAGAGAGAGAGAGAGAGAGAGAGAGAGAGTGATGTTTCGTCGTGAACGATCTCGACCGTACGAGACCGTGGCCGGAACGACACTGAAACTGGCGCTGGCCGGAGCGACGTACACCGTTCTCGGTGCTCTGCGACGTGAAGGTCTCCCTACCCCTGGTCGTTGCTACCACCACCGCGAGCACACCAACCCCCGCTACAACGATGGAACTTGGTCCCCCACCCTATTATCCAATCTCCCACTCCTTACTACCTTTCGATACGATGCCGAGCACATCGAGTATATATCGCGCGGCGCGGCATCGTATCCTTCCGGCGGACGACGACGACGACGGGCGCTGTCACAATTCGGCAAGAGATCGTAGGGAGAAAGTTAGAGAAGCGCGGGAGGCGAGACGAGAGACGTGTCGGATAGTATCGTCGCCTACCCGCCACGACGCTGACTGACAGAGACGAATTTACCTGCCTGTCTGCCTGCCTGCTTATCCGGGTTTCTTATACCTTGACTTAGCATAAATTTCATAAACAAATCCCGAACCTGTTTTCCCCATTTTCCTCTTCTCGCTTGTACTCATTGCAACGTAAAGTATGGACGAGTCTAAGGCGGTAGATTACACAAAAAGGGAAGAAAAAATTTTATAACTTTCTGATTTTATCCTCGAGCGAATTAAGTTTTTTATAAAATTACCATGCAATGAATGAACAAAGTCGAAAAATGATTCAAAAGATGTGTAATTGTGAAGAATAACGGGTTCTTTTTTTTAAGCGCACACTTTTGAAAATTATACATGCATTGAGTAGAAAATTTAAATGAAAAGAAAAAAAGAACAGAAGAAGAAATCTTATCTAATCTCGTAGAAAGATCAAAAGAGCGACATTTGTATATATATATCGGAGTATTTTAATTCAAGATATATTTCTGATATTTTAATTCAAGAAGAATTCCAAGCAGTTACATAAATTTCCCGTTATCAATGCTATTTTTATATATGACATCGGATTTGCATCGGATAATGTTGATAAAGTATCGCACGTGCCATCGATATCGCCTTTACTTATACGATGAATCATGAGCGAAAAATAGAGTAACTCTATTCGGTCATATCGATGATTCATCGAACGATAAGTCGCTCGTTTAAAATGCACTCCGCTTAAAATACCTGCGGTAATAACTCTTCGCGTGCACAAAACGTCGCCTATCGAAAAACGTTTTTTATTGTATGCTCGTTTGCGTTACGTTTTAATACGATATCGTCATTCAAATTAAATTAATGACATGCCGTAACTGTAATTCTGCAAAAAATTGTTCGATTCAGTTCGCATCGTCCGATATTTTGCATTAAATAATTAACAGAATACTATAATTCATATTTTTAGATAATCTAAATAAATAATAAATATTTTTAGATAATCTAAATATTTGAACAAATCGTTTATTTAAAAGTGGCTTACAAGTCGAATATTCACAAGCACATTCTAAAATGAAATAAATAACAGACATATGTTTATTTTAAGATCTTCGAAAACTTCATAACTTAACATCAAAGTCCGCTCGCGCGATCCGCTGAACGAGACCGACTATATATTCTCTCTGTCGGAGCAAGTAACCGGGCCGATTATTGTCAGCCGCGAGGCGAGTCGAGAGCGGAGAGAGTGCAGAAGAGAAGCAACATTGGCGAAGCGGGAGAGAGAGGTAGGGTAGAGAGACCGATATCTTACATCCGTAGCACCCTCGCATCTGGGTCTCTCGCCGGCACGAAAAGTAGGTCGCGAGTCATCAATCGCCCGCGGCAACGCCATTCGGTCGAATCTCTTCCCGTCCGCTCTCTCATCCGAAACGTCTGTTGCCGGCGAATGCAGCCGAGAGAGACACGCTCCCTTTTTCAAACTCCCATCTCATCATTAGACGCATCGAGGAAAGTTTTGGCACCTCATTTCCCGCCTTATTACGCGTATTATTAAAAGAAGCACCTTTCTTATTAGCGCACGCATCGGGCGGAAGTTCGGTGCCGCTCGTCTGTTATTACACACTCGTCGAGCAAGAAGTTCGAGGGAAACTCTCTATTATTATAGTTATATCAGCAACGAGCGTGTTTGAAACGGTCTCTCTATTATTACACGCTTCAGTCAAAGAAAAATTTGTAAGCGCTTCTTTCTCTCTCTCGAAACAAATAGCGCATTCATTATATAGGTTTGAAAAAAATTCGTCCACGCTCTATTATTATATATACATTTTTCTTTTGAGGAAGTAGGAATGAGGTACATTGCGCGAAAAATTCCGAAAATTCCACTCTTTGAATAAAGATATTTTTCCGTTAACTGCGAAGTGGATTAAATTTTTCCCTGTTGGAATGCCTTCCATGGAAATATATTAAAAAGTCGATTAATACATATAAATTAAACGCTTTTTATTATAAATATTGCGTTAAAAATAAATTAATTTTTCTGACGGTTTTTATTAAAATAGAAAATGTTTGCACACACAACATTCTTTTAATTATTCCTTGATGTATGGGAGTGTATAGCAGATACAGAGAAGAAAAATGACGATTTTTATTGCATTGCCTCAATATAAAGTGCACCTGTCTAAACGAAGTGAAGCCCGAGACAAAGTTTTCCCAGCGCGATTAGAGTCGCGGTGTAAGATAGATCGTGTTTCTTGATCAGAGATGGAAGTCTCGCGACGCGATGGCGATGGCAGTTATCGCGTGTCTCGATCGGGGATGCGCCATTAGCGATTGTTACAAACTGATTTTGATGTCCCGTCGCGCGATCGGTCACTCGATAAAGTGGCCGTCTACGATTAGCGCCGCCGTAAATTGGCATTATTGTGAAACACGTCAAATCATTAAACCGCAGCGCGACGTTGTTACCGCGTCGAATTCGAACGACTGCCATAATTTTTGCCCCTTTTCTATTTCTACTGGTTGAAAATTATCTTAGCTAAAACTAGATATACAACGTGATAAATCTTTGTTTCGAGGAAAAAAAAACACAAATAAAAAAAGACAACAATAATTTGCAGATTTACTGCATACTATTATATTACTGATAACAAGTTCTACAACATTGTAAAAAAGGACATAAATCAAATATGTACGTAGAAAAACATATTTTAAGAACATTCACAGAGAGATGCAACTACACTTTTTGTTCCTCAGCAGTTATTTAAATTATTCTCAAATATCAGAAAAAAATGTAAAAATATGCGTATGAATAAATAATGCACATTTCTGTTAATTTAAATTTTTACTAAAACGAAATGCTCAATATTTAAAATTTTTATATGGGTGAAAACAAAAACGCGACGGTTTGAATTAGAAAAGCACTAATTGAAAGTGAGCAGCGCGATCTTCCATAATAGATATTCGGGATAAGGGAGAGACGCGGAGGGCTTGTTTTACCAAAGATAAACGAATTGCTATATCGGGAAATAATGAAAAATAGACGAAGCGCGACGTGAAAGTGCGCTATAAGCGTACTCCAGAAAATCTCGGCCGATAAGTACGCTTGAATGAGCGATTCCTGAGTGAAAGCGACTACGACAATGATTTACAGGCACGATGAAAACATAAAGGAAAAAGATAAAGATAAGTAAACTAAAATAGTATAAATAAGAAACTGTTTCAACGAAAGAGAGAGAGAGAGAGAAACATGACCAGTTTTAGTAAATAAGGGAACAACACAGATAAAATAATATAATTGTGCGAGCCGTTAATATTATGAAATAGTAATCAGATGTAATTGATGAAACATGACCAGTTTTAGTAAATAAGGGAACAACACAGATAAAATAATATAATTGTGCGAGCCGAGTTAATTTTATGAAATAGTAATCAGATGTAATGACAGCAGTAACTGTGTGTGTATGTGTGTGTAAATGATTGTTTATAAAATATTGAAAAAACGAGATTTTTTAATTTTCTGCCAAGCGTTAGATATTTCTCGAAATATTCTCGCACGCGCGCACGTGTAACAAGAAAACTCATTTCTAAATAAATGAAGGCGACGATTTTGCAAGACTGTAAAAATGGAAATAACAATGTACGAGCGTGGACAATGAGTGAAACGTTTAGTAAAGTTTCACGATGGAATATTCCTGTTGTCGCGGAATCTCGTAATAATGTCGCGCGTGAGCATACATCCTGAAAATGTGGCCGCCACTGAAGATAAACATTGAACGGTTTCGACACACCGAAGAATTTGTCGGCGCGAGACGAGATAATGACAAAAAAAAAATTCGCAACTTCGCTAAAGGCGAGAGAAAAACATTTAGCGAAGCCAAATATAAAGCTATACACGTGGCTCGTGTACATGCTATGAAAAATGAGGTTGCTTTGATGTCACGGAATTACTTTGATCTCGCAGCGGTATTTTAAAGCGATAATTTTTTTTTTTTCAATGCGGTCATACAATTGCAATTTTCTTGCTGGAGAATACATAATAACAAAATGCAATGTCTATTATTTCAAGTATGAAAACCTCATTTACGGATGCCGATATTCGATGAAAATAACTTTGTCAGTTCAAAGCGTTTCCAATATAAACCAATCCAATTCCAATTTACTTTCCAGCGCATCAACCATCGTACAATAACGTATTGAAATTACAAATTTCTGTAAAGAACAATTCAAAAATATTTTTAATAAATCAGGGTAGGTCTTTAAAATCAAATAATACTGCGAATTGTAACAATATTTGCTTCTATAAATAAATTTGCTTTTATAAATAAACATTTATAATATATTAATGCAGATTGGCTTCCATAAATTTTCAAATTTCCAAGAAAAAAATAAAGATAAAGAAATTTATTTTACACTAATTATGAATGTATGGCACACTCACACTGTGACACACATATATATATTTTTTTTTTCGTTTCCGGATGCGTGAAATGTAATATAACATGTCGCTCCTATGGTTTGGCCAATCGTGATTGGAAATTTCCGATCGACATGCTCTGCCGATCGTGCCGATGCGGATACAACGCGTTCGCGATCAATGGGAAGCGGCCAATGAGAACCCGACCGATGCTTTACCTACACGGTAATCTCTTAGTGTAATCCGAATTAGGTCCTGCACTACGTGTACAATGTCCCTTACGATAACAGAGCATAAATCACGGGCA